TGTTGTTTTTCTTAACACAGCTTAAGTTGTCACGGTACCTCACTGAAGAGGAACCAATCTCAGAGGAGGGCAATGCCCAATCTCTAGCTAGTTGCCAACAATGGAAACATAACAATTTCATGTGTTGGAACTTTGTGCTGAACGGTTTGGATGATTCATTGTATGGTATTTTCTCCAAATATGTTACAGTCAAGCAACTTTGGGAAGCGATTGATCATAAGTATCGGGTCGAAGAGGCTGGCCAAGGGCGAATGGTGGTAGCCAAGCTCCTAAACTACCGTATGGTAGACACAAGGAGTGTTGTGGAACAAGTAGATGAATTGCAAATCATCTTCCACAACTTGGCAGGAGAAGACATCATGGTAAATGAACGGTTCCAGGTGGCAACTCTGATTGAAAAATTGCCTCCCTCCTGGACGAGTTTCAAGAATGACCTGAGGCAAAAACCTAAGGACATGTCTTTGAAGGATTTACATCGTCGTGTGAGAATCCGGCATGAGTCTCAACCAATTCTTAAAATGAATGGGCAGTTTGGATCCAAGGCAAACGTCGTTGAGATGACTAAGGCCAAAGGGATTAAAAAACGGAAGATTGATAAGAATGTCAACTCCAAGAAATTCAAGGGGAATTGCTACGTCTGTGGCAAGGCTGGACATCTGGCGAAGGATTGCTACCATCGCAAGGAAGGTGCCCAGAAGAAAATTGGGAATAAGACCCAAGCTCATGTAGCTGAAGTAGAAGATGGGGAGTCTGAGTTCGTAGCAGTTGTGTCAGAAGTGAACATGGTCGGAGATAATCCGAGAGAATAGTGAATTGACACTGGAGCAACCCGCCACATTTGTGCTAACAAATGGATGTTCACCTTCTATGACACTGTCACCGGAGAAAGCTGCTATATGGGAAACTCTGCTGCATCCAAAGTGGAAGGCAAGGGTTCAGTCATTTTGAAGATGACATCTGGAAAGAAGCTGACACTCAGTGAGATTCTTCATGTGCCAGACATTCGCAAGAACCTGCTCTCTGGATCTGTGATGTCAAAGAAATGCTTTAAGCTTGTGTTTGAATCTGAGAGAGTTGTAGTGCCAAAAGATGGTGTGTATCTAGGTATAGGTTATCTAGCAAATGGTATGTTCAAGATGAATGTAATGTCCATTTGTAACACCAATGCGACAAATAATATAACCGCAAATGATATTAATAAAGCTTCTACTTCTTCTGCTTACTTCA